AGATCGTTCATCTTAGATCCCAGCCTGATCTCCAGCTTTTTCAAAGCCCACCCTGAGAAACGCCACAGGTCGCCTGGGGGCGATTCTTGAGGGGGGGGGGGGTACTGTAGGAGTCCCAATGTCTGCAGCCTTCCTCCAAGATGGCCGTTAATTAACACCAGCTGACGGCCATCCACCTGATGAGGAACACCTCTACTTAAGGCTGCAGTCCTGTGTGACTCATCGCTGGAGCATTGAGCTTTATTGGTATTTATGCCTCCAGCCTAAACGTGTGAGTATACGACATACTCTCATCTTGTTCTTTATGCCCGCAGTACCCTGCCTGTCTGACTCCATCCTTGTTGCCTCGTCAACCACCTGCCTGCCAGACCTGTCGAGCCACTCATCTGCCAGACTCGTCGAGCGGATTCTGTTGCCAGTCCTGTCCTCCTGTTTTCTCCAGCCAGACCTGCTTGTACATTCCGCCCTACCCTGGTTCCCGACGCCTACATCTGATTGCCAGAGGACTGCCATATATGTATACAAACCCCCTACACTGTATATAATAAACACTGTTTCCTTTTTTCTAAGATCTGAGTCTGCTTCGTTCTGGTCTTGTACCAATCTGGGTTCCGCTAGTCATTACACAACCCACTTATGTACACGCCATACTCACTACTGAAATGCTGTCATATACACTACCGACTTTTGTTTAGGAAATAAAAAAGCATTCCAGTGAAACAGGAACTTTTGATTATACTCTGACCTGTTTTAGACCTTAAATGTTGGCATTTTGATTTTCTATGTTAATTTTTTTAATATTATTTGTTATTTTTTTAATATCTTGTATATGTTCCTCTGGCACAACAATTTCCTGCAGGATCAATAAAGTTCTATCTTATCTTATCTTATCTTATCTTATCTCGTACTCAACTATACTAATTGAAAATGCAGGTGTGCTAATGGAAATATTTCAGTAGTTTGTACTTCAGTACTGTGCCTGAGTGCCTTTGAGTAGTGTGTTTGAGAACATTTCAGCGTGGCATCTTCAGTTTGTTTGCAAGCACATTCAGAATATTGTTCCTTATAACCCTCATATAACCCCTAAGCGTTCTTATGTTTTTCTTTTATGTGTTTTTCAATTTATTTAAATATAGAATTGTATTTTAATCAATTACCTAATGTTTTTTTTATTCTGAATCTGCAGCACAAATACAGTTATCACAACACTTTATTTGTTTGGGTGTTTAAAGGATTATAAGTGCAGTTTACACATATTTAACAATCCTGAATAATCCACCTCACAACAATTATTTACATTAATCCTCAGACTGTCAATGAACAGTAAACCTGACGATACAGTTTCATCAACGAATGAAAGTAAAAGACAGAGTACCACCATAGTACTGGCCAAAATATAAGACCGTATTTCTAATAATGCATTTTAAAATGTGGAATTATTTTAACATTAGAGGACTACAGTATATACTTCAATCAAGACAGCACAAATTTTCCACGACACTCAAACCTTCTGTGCTGCAGAGAGACATTTTAAATAAGCATGGCAAGCACATTTGAAACGATCCCTTGTTACATATATCTGGTATTATTGATAACATATACAAATTGCAGTTAGCCTATTTTATAGGTGATTGTGTAAAAAAAAAAATCATTATAATAAAAACACATTCTCAGGCTTGTCTCTGGGGACACTTTTTAAAAATGAGCACACTCAATGGTTTTGCCAAGTTGAGATAAAACAAACTCACTTTTGGCATTGTAATTAACAGAAAATGACAACTTCTCAAAACCATTCAATGTGCAACTAAGATAAAATGCGCTCGAGCAACAATTTACAAGAATGTGGCTGGCTTTTACCATGGACTGAAAAGATCTGAGCTGTGAAAAATCTGACTTCTTGCTGCACAAACCTTTTGTTTTGTGCACCGTTAGAAGACAAACTCACAGTTTCTGCTTTTCTTCTGTCAATCCATGAAACCCATGCATGTACAAAAATGTGCTAAATCAATTCAAAGGTTAAAAACAAGCCACTTGTAAAACAAAGTCAAGCATTTTATTTTATTTTATTTTTTAAACTGAACACAAAGCTTACATACTTTATTTCTGATTTTAACTTTTTTTTAAGTCTCCCTTTTTGTAATAATGGTAAATGGACTGTAGCTCCTTTCTATCTTATCAAGATACTCAAAGCTATTTACAACACAATCTGTGCCTCATTTACCCATTCATACAGCACTCTACTACATACTGTATGTGTCAAACTCAAGGTCCGGGGGCCAAATGCGGCCCTCGCTGACATCTTATCTGGCCCCCAAGATGTTTTTTTATATGTAAAATACTTTTATCACTTTCATTTTTTTCATCAATCTTTGATTATGATGTCCAAAGTGCAACAGAGAATGTCAAATGAGACCAATCAAACTCTTCTTGAGGAACCTGTAACCTAGTAAATATGTTGGGTATCTATCTTGAGGTAATGTAGGTTCTGAAACCGGCCATTAGTTTGAAAAAGGTTTTAATTTTGGCCCCTTTTTGTAAGTGGGTTTGACACCTCTGATCTACTAGATCTATACAAAGAATAATCAGTATTTCATCACATTCATACACTGATAGGACACACTTTGGAGGTAATGAGGGGTTCAGTGTATTGCCCGTGGACATTTCAGCATGTGACTTCTGGTGGAATCAAACCCCCAACTCTTGCATTGGAGGACGACTGCTCTAACCACTCAGCCACAGCCGCCACGATAATGCTAAACCAAAATCTTAAAAAAATTACAGGTGAGCTTTTTTATTAATTCTATCCAGACTCACTTTAACACGATGTTCCTTCATTTATTAAAGCCGCTGCAGCTGCAATGAATGGGATAGTCTTGTTTTCAACACAGCTTTTAAGAGACAGGAAGTCAAAGTTAACTACATCCAAGTGCATGCAAATGACAAACGCACTGAGAGCATGAAAAGTGGTCAAAAGTGTTCACGTTTGTCTCTCAGCAGTGGAAAATTTTGGAGTTATTTTGTTGTATTTTTGTGACTTGGAATTGTTCTTTCTGGTTTAGGCTCAAATAAATTTGAAGAACGGAATTTTATTTTATTTTTTTAAAGAAAAATGCAGTGATTTTTGATATATCTTATATTTGCAAATTAAATAGTTAAAGTAAAAAAAGCACATTTTTGTCAAATGCTAATATGTAACTTTTCATTTCAGTATAACACATACAGTAGTTCTAGTTTGCTGAATCAGATGCAGCTCATCTTTAAATGGTTTAACAGAAAAATTGGTGTTGGGCAAATATTTGGGTATCTTGGTCGACTCGCATCTCTCTTTTAAACCCCATGTCGAAAACAGTTCAACTGGGTTTCTTTTTCAGAAATTGATCCTGTTTAACTGTGAATGCTAGGAAACACCTTGTAACTGTGACTTTCCTTCCCTCCATTGATTACGGTGACAATATTTACATGAATACTCCTACAAGCACCCTGCAGATGTTGGACACTGTCTATCATGGTGCACTAAGATTCATAGCTGAGATTATCGTACCCACCACTGCACCCTGTATTCACTGGTTAACTGGTCATCATTAGCTTCACGCAGACTCTCTCACTGGTACAGTTTCATCTTTAAATCACTTCTTGGTCTGCTGCCTTCATACATCTCCTCCTACATGTCTCTGTGTGAGTGCAGCTACAGCGTGCGCTCTCAGGACATTATTACCTGCAGTGTTCCCTCAGTGAGGACTGAACTAGGCAAAAGGGCCTTCTCCTACTCTGCTCCTGTTTCCTGGAATATCTTACAAAAAGATCAGAAGCTCTCGACCTTGACCTCTCTAAGTGACTTCAAACATCTGCTAAGTTCCTGTGAAAAACCAATGCAGACATGTTCCTGTTTTTAGTATTTTACATCGCTTTATAATGTAGCTGTTTTTGTTTCATTTTTAAATATAATTTTCCTCCATTTATTTTTCAGTTTATATGTTTTTTTAATGATTGTCTACTGTTGTCATCACTCTGTTAAAATTAGGTCTCTCTTATAAATGAGTACTCGAGGTTCAATGAGTTTAACCTGTATAAGTAAAGGTTGAATGAATATCATAGAACTATCGTCTTATATTTGGACCAGTCCGGTAGTACTGCTAAAGCAACATGGGAAAGGGATGTATTGCCCTTTGTGGAAGAGGCTGAGTGCTGATTTTTGTGGGGCTGGCCTAGGGTCAGAGCGAGGTTATGCTGGGAGGTGCTGTGAGGTGACGAGTTTGCGATGGAGACTAACCTTTCTTGTGGAGTCGTTGTTGTCACACTCCCCTTTATCGTACCACCATTTGTTTTTCAGTTTGTCTAAGACGGCTTGCTCATTGAGTTTCAACACCGCTAGGTTTACTGGGATTCTTCCAACAATAAGGAAATAACATAAATAACATATTATACCATGTTATTTTATGTTATTAGTTCAGAAACACAGAGCAGCAAATACATCCATACAACAATAATCGGCCTTGATATCTTATAAGTAAAAATAAAATAAAATACACACACGTACACACACACACACACAAATGTGTAGCATAAACATCATTAGAAACATCAGAGTCAAAGTGATATGCATTAATACTCCATCTAACTTGGTTGACCTGCTTTCTAAGGCAGTAGATGTGTATTACTATATCACTTAGGGTAACCGGCACACTTTGCCCTCACATATGCAACAAGGGTGTTTCAGTTAACACAAATCTAGTCTGTCACAATTACATGACAGTTTCATGCGGTCTAATAAAGACTAATTTATTAAACTGTATATTGTTTTAACTACAGAAGAAAAACAATTGCACTCTCTTGGTTTTCAAATTCAACCTCTGCCGGCCAAATAGCTACCCTACTTGGCACTTTACGATTGATCTTCCTTAAACTGTGAATAGTGTGTTGCCAGAGAGGTAATACGGATCTGCCGGTTACCCCCCTCCCCACCCTCATTACCCACAGGGTTTTATCAAACTGGCTCTGACCTTGGAGTCCCCGCCCCCGCTGCCGCACTCTCCCTTGTCGTACCACCACTTGTTTTTCAATTTGTCCAAGAGGCCCTGCTCGTTCAGTTTTAACACTGCCAGGTTTACTGGGTTTCTTGAAAATAATATGAAACAATAGCCATTAGGAGACAATCTATGGGGACAAAAATAAAGAGACTGGTCGCATGGTTGGTGGTGATTATGACAACATTAGTTGGATATTGGGAGCTCTCCTGCGTGTTAGCTACCGATGTGAAACAGGAGCACTTGGCTTTCGATGTACATGTTGGTTGTAAACATGCAACAGGTTGGAGTGCTCATACAGTAGTAGAGACAGGTTTTACCAAGCAGGGGCCTCAGAGAGAGAGGATCTAAAAGGAGATGCCTTAGACGTGAATGCCTGTCAACAAGTGGTAATTTCTTTTCAGCTCCACCAGCCTGCACAGCCTCTTAACTGCACAAAACAATAAATGTTCAACTATAACAGCATATGAACCAAAAGCTTTGATTGTTTTATCTTCCACTTTTTATTTGAAGTTTATTCGGTAACGACACTGAAAAAGAAATAACCAATTATAGATGGACTCGTTCAAAGCATCTCCCCCATAGTTTGCTCCATCTCTCTCTGGTTAAAGGGTGTGAGAGTATTTCCTATAGCTGACTGGCTGTGGACAAAGAGTCTCCCATTCCACAAAACACAAGAAAGGCAGAATATCCCATTAAAAAGTCAAATTTACAGCCACTGTGTTTCTTCCTTCCAATCAGCATTGATTCTACTGTGCAGCAAGTTTTATTCTTGAAGATATTCTGCCTTTCGTCGCAGCACAAACAGAAGAGTCTTTATCCCCACCGCTGACTGCACAACACAGCTGTAGGGAACACAGTTTCCTTCAGGGCTGGTAAAACCTTTGATTTCTTTCTCAGCCCAGTGGACTCAGACAAAAAGAAAGAAGTCAAAGTGTGTGGACATGGATGGTCTGATGGGTCATTGGTTAGTTTGGTCTGTTGGTTTGAGTTAAGCAGATGTCAAAAAAAAAAAAAGGCTGAAGCATGTAAGTGGGGAGAGGGGTGTGGAATGTCATGGACAATGACTGAATTTAAATACAGGTGCTGGTCATAAATTCAGAATATCATGAAAAAGTTGATTTATTTCATCAATTCCATTCAAAATGTGAAACTTGTATATTATATTCATTCATTACACACAGACTGATATATTTCTAATGTTTATTTCTTTGAATGTTGATGATCAACTAATGAAAACACCAAATTCAGTATCTCAGAAAATTAGAACATTGTGAAAAGGTTCAATATTGAAGACACCTGGTGTCACACTCTAATCAGCTGATTAACTCAAAACGCCTGCAAAGGCCTTGAAATGGTCTCTCAGTCTAGTTCTGTAGGCTGCACAATCATGGGGAAGACTGCTGACTTAACAGTTGTCCAAAAGACGATCATTGACACCTTACAGAAGGAGGGCAAGACACAAAAGGTCATTGCTAAAGAGGCTGGCTGTTCACAGAGCTCTGTGTCCAAGCACATTAATAGAGAGGTGAAGGGAAGGAAACAATGTGGTAGAAAAAGTGTACATGCAATAGAGATAACTGCACACTGGAGAGGATTGTGAAACAAACCCCGTTCCAAAATGTGGGGGAAATTCACAAAGAGTGGACTGCATCTGGAGTCAGTGCTTCAAGAACCATACCATACCATACCATTTTATTTATAGAGCACTTAAAACAGTGACAAGGCCAACCAAAGTGCTGTACAGACAAAACAACAGGTAACACACAAAGCAAAAATACAAAATGATGTAAATCAGAATATAGACAAAAAAAAAAAAAAAAACGATGCAGATAATGATGACTAACCAGAGTGGAGCATACAGGTTCAAAACACAGATCATCTGGTGTTGAAAGCTACCGAATAGTAGTGGGTTTTTAAACGGGACTTGGAAATCGAGAGGGAGGGGGCCTGTCTGACAAGCAGAGGTAACTCGTTCCAAAGTCTTGGTCCTGCTACAGAGAAGGCCCTGTCACCTCTGCGCTTAAGACGAGTTCCTGGAACTGTGAGGAGCAACTGGTCCGCTGACCTCAGGGAACATGATACAGAACCACCACACACAGACATATGCAAGACAAGGGGTTCAGCTGTCACATTCCTTGTGTCAAGCTACTCTTGAACAAGAGACAGTGTCAAAAGCGTCTTGCCTGGGACTGCTGCTGAGTGGTCCAAAGTTATGTTCTCTGATTAAAGTAAATTTTGCATTTCCTTTGGAAATCAAGGTCCCAGAGTCTGGAGTAAGAGAGGAGAGGCACAGAATCCACGTTGCCTGACGTCCAGTGTCAAGTTTCCACAGTCACTGATGGTTTGGGGTGCCATGTCATCTGCTGGTGTTGGTCCACTGTGTTTTCTGAGATCCAAAATCAACGCATCCGTCTACCAGGAAATTTTAGAGCACTTCATGCTTCCTGCTGCTGACCAACTTTATGGAGATGCAGATTTCATTTACCAACAGGACTTGGCACCTGCACACAGTGCCAAAGCTACCAGTACCTGGTTTAAGGACCATGGTATCCCTGTTCTTAACTGGCCAGCAAACTCACCTGACCTTAACCCCATAGAAAATCTATGGAGTATTGTGAAGAGGAAGATGCAATATGCCAGACCCAACAATTCAGAAGAGCTGAAGGCCACTATCAGAGCAACCTGGGCTCTCATAACACCTGAGCAGTGCCACAGACTGATCGACTCCATGCCACGCTGCATTGCTGCAGTAATCCAGACAAAAGGAGCCCCATGTACTGAGTGCTGTACATGCTCATACTTTTCAAGTTCATAGTTTTCATGCTCATACTATTCAGTTGGCTAATATTTCTAAAAATCTTTTTTTTTATTGGTCTTAATATTTTAATTTTCTGAGATACATCATTTGAGGTTTTCATTAGTTGTCAGTTATAATCATCAACATTAAAAGAAACAAACATTTGAAATATATAAGTACGTGTGTAATGAATGAAAATAACATACAAGTTTCACTTTTTGAATGGAATTACTGAAATAAATAAACTTTTTCATGACGTTCTAATTTTATGACCAGCACCTGTAAAATAAACAAAACGGGGATAACAAAAAACAAACAAACAAAAAAAAACCCAAACAAACAAAAAAACAAAAAAAGGACAATTTAAATGATTCATCAGAAAGTGTTCTTGAAAGATAGTCCTGTAAAATGAAAACATTCCAAAGTCTTTGCAAAATGTAACTTTCAATCAGGCCTGCAATATTATGCGAGCAATACAGGTTTATGAAACTTAAAATTGAATTTAAATTCTATCAAATTTGAAATATATATTGATTTATAATTACGATTTAAGTACTTTACCAAGAATACATATGTTTACAGAAAAAAAGATCAGTTTTTCAGATCTGCAACTGGTATTAACATCGTTCTCATCAGTATGTTCAAATTAGTATTACTTTACATCACAGGCATGGTTGAACTAAACGCTTCCACTTCAAAGGTCATTGACTCACACAGATGAAGTGTAGATCATTCAAAATGGCCACACGTTAATATTGTGAATGTTTGTTAGCTGTAAACGAATCTCATGAATGACAAAGGGAGAAAACTGACAACAATATTTGTCACTCAACCACCAATTACCACAAAGAGAGGCAGATAATCATAGCCATCCTCAGCTGTGCACATGCAAATTTGGCCCATTTGATCCACATGATCTGCTGCTATAAATTATAACTAATGCAGCACTTTTTTTTGTGTAAAATCTAATTTGCATTAAAAAAATTTAAAAGCGGATCTGATTAAAGCTTAGGAAACATTTCTAATCTGTATTCTGACCTCTGGCTGTCAGAGTCTGAGTGAATCGTTGGTGAGATTGAATGAAATCCTTCTGTGTGGCTCCTTTCATTAAAATGAATGAAGCCTATTAGAGACAGATTAAAAGCTTCAGATGCCACCAGCATCTGCATTCTCTCTGTGGTTGCAGGAGAAATATAAACGGGGAAGTTGGTTAGAGTGTTCATGTGATGTGAAATGACAGCTGCTGCTCGAATGATGGCAGAAAAAACTCAGGAAGAATTATTCTTCATCACATTGTTTATCACATGAAATGTGAAAATACAACTTTGCTGACTTGCTTAATCAGAGTGTGTGGCCCCGGCTTAAGATCAAAAGCAGTCCATGTGAGAAGCTGTTTCTTAAAAAAATGTTTTACGTATTTGCTACCCATTTATTTTAGTTTGAAATAAACATTTTAAATGTATTTAGAGGGAGCGTCTCATGGTCCTGCTTTACACTTTTGCCAGAGCTCACAACCCTGCGTGAACAGCCGTCCAGCAAAACATTCAAATAAAGATGGCCTTCAGTCTGAGGAAATGGCACCATCAAGCTGTTAATGCATGCATGTTGTGCCATGTCAGTACAAAATGAGGAAAAAATATGTTGGTGACTTTGCCAGTAATGTCATGCCTTCTACGTCCAACCAGAATGCTTTAAAACATAAAAAGCTACTGCTACAGATCGTCATTGTGATGAAAAATAAAAGCTTGCTTAAATAAACTAAGCTTAAGTTTGTATGTGAGCCGATGATGAAAAAGATAAGCTTCATGAAGAAATGATAGGATGGCGGCCATGCATAAACACTCCAATAAAAGCACTCGAAGGCTTTTATTTTGCCACACTGCATTGGCAAGCTTTTACCTGAGAGGGGAGCCCTTAGGCGTAGCAATCCCATAACCTTTGGAGTCCAGGTTACCCCCCACCTTCATGGTGTCGCAGGGCTTCCTCTGCTCTATGTACTCGTTCATTGTGGACTCCAGCAGGTAGGCATACTTGCCCTTGGACTTCCTGACTCTCATCACCCCCTCGTCCGTTGTTTTGACGAACACGGACGGGTCAGCCGCCTTCATGTAGGACCACATCTTCTCGAACACAGCGATTTTTGATCTCTGACGGGCAGGATTTGCAAAGAAATAGGTGTCAGTCTAAATCATCAAACTGAAAAACAACTTCATGAGAAAACATGAAAAAATGGAAGTAATTTCCACACAGTTGGCTTTCTTTCATGATAGAACTCCATATATCTGGGCTGGGTGGAGACAAAACTTATTTAACTTTACTTTTTTACTAGAGCTACTGTGTGTCAGACTTTTTTTTTAATTAAACTGGCCCATCAAAATTTTTTTGATCGTTAGTAATTACCAACAGTAATTAACAAGTTGAGCCAAACCTTAAAGAATACAGTAGTGCCTCGCTACTTCACGGTTTGACTTTCGCGGACTCGCTTTATCACAGTTTGTGAACGTACAGCACACAATATTGTACAAAACAAATGTACAGGACATGATTTTCAACTTAATATTACTCACATGATTGGGAAAGCGCTGGATAGTGTACTGTACAGTATAAAGTCAACGAAAAAGTAAAATACTTTAAACAGGAACTGCCATTTTGTAGTTTTCTCTCAGTAAGCCTACCTGTATACCCACTCATAATAACTACATTTCCCAGAAATCAACAGGGCCCCGCCCAGAAGCTTCATTTCCTTATGCTGGACTAGAGGAAAAGCTTTACCCGCTCAGAAAAAGTTTGGCGCTTATTACAGTGACTTCGGCACCTAGTGGATGCAGAGAAGCTGCACGGAACCCACAGAACAGGAGCAGAACCAGGTTCATCGGTGAATCTTGAAAGCTGGTAGCCCACCCACGTGGACTTTTGAGCAAGGACACGCGCTGAAAGCCCAGCGGTCCATCCGGTGCCCACCGGTATATTTTTCATCCCTTTCAACCGGCCGACGAGGACCTCCAAACAGGTAAGTAAAATTTAGAAGCTACTGTACATATAAGTATGTTGTTAAAATTAGTAGGTTTTAAGAGTTAAAAAAAATGATCTTGGGCTTTGTTGCTGCAGGGCAGGTCTGCGTAAATAGAACCGAGTTGGACCAGAACAGAGTCGGACCAAAACGAGAGCCGCTCCTGTTCTGCAGCGCTGGTAAGTAAACTTTAGTAGCTACATATACAGTACTGTACGTATGTTGTTAAAATGATTTAGATTTAAGAGTTTAGAACATTGCAAGAGTGTGGGAAGGGTTTATAAAGCCTTATTATATATATAAGTGCTAAAATATACATAAATAGTAAAATAAATATAATGTTGTTACATTCACTTATTGCGGAGGGGTTTGAACGCCCGCAATGAGCGAGGAACTACTGTATGTTTATCTAGTTTATTTTTGCTTCAGTAAAACAATCTAATTGCCTAAATGTCTAATTCTATTTTAAAAAAGAAAAATATTTTATTATTGAACTTTATTTAACCAGGCAAATCTCACTAAAACCTGAGAACAAGCTTCATCCCCACAGAAAGACTCCATGCCCACCGCAGGACTTTCTTGCTGTGAGGTAACTGTGCTCATCACTAAGCCACAGTATTGCTCAAATCAGCACAGTTGTGTGTAAAGTAGTCAAATGTAGTTTTATTTTACTCAACAAAACATTCTGAGTTATATATTATGTATAACCAGCTATAAAAAAAAAGATTTTACTCATAGAGCAGGTAGAACGGGTAAAATATCAGATGTCATAAAGGTCTATAACTTTTGCTTCCTTACCCTGAAGAACTCTTTGGTGGAACCTGCATCTAATGTTCCATAGGCAATCTCTGTCTGCTTAGCCAGGTCCTCAGCGCTCTCTATAGGAGACACCATCCTCTCCACTGTCAGGAAGGCAGCCAAGTTGGCAGTATAGGATGAGATGATGATGAGGGTGAAGAACCACCAGACTCCACCAACAATGCGACCAGACAGAGACCTAAAAACAAGTGAAAATAATTATAGTATGTGGAATATACAGCATTTGTAGAGTTTTGACATCGGCTTCAGTTATCACCCATTAAATGGCTGTTATTAGTTGTATCTTCATCATAGGTTGTGTTCAGACTGTCCCTCCTGTACCTCCTAGTCGGTTTAAAGGTACGTTCTTGTCACTGATAATATGCAGCTTTGCCCACGTCTAAAACCAGAAGCTTTTTTGGTTAGCTTTATTTAGTCCTTTTTCTAAACCTAACCTTACACCTGACCCAGAGCACTGACCCTAAACCTAACCCCCAGACCCTTGAGCCTTAACCTAGCCCTGACCCTAACCCTGACCCTATTAACAGTGATAAGAATGTACCTTTAAACATACTAGGAGGTACAGGAGGGACAGTCTGAATGCAACCTATGAGGATGATAACTACTAATAATGGCCATTTAATGGCTGATAACATTCGAAGCAGATGGTTTTGAGGGGATCAGTTGTATGGAAATGCAGGAATAGAGCATAACATAGCATCAGGGTTATTTTGTTCTTCATGGTCAGTTTTACATGTTATCAGTAAGAGCAATCAAAAACACGTGATGTTCAGACCATCCGAGTGACCTATATTGCATCACACCCTCTCTGCACTCACAGTCTTCATTTCACCAGGCTTGGAGAGCTTAGCCCAGTCTGCCCAAGAAAGATAACCAGACCCACAAAGGCCCACTCAGCTTTCTGCCTGCCAAATTAATCTCATGTTAAGAAAAGTTGCCAATACGTTTAACGGAACCACGCACATTAATTGTTGGGGATTAATAATAAGAAGAGAACACTTAACCACTGCTCTAATTACACTTAAAAACATAAAGGAATAAAAAAAAAGATGAGTAAAATCCCTCGAGTCAAATCCCCCGTCTTTCCACTCGGTGTGGCTCTCTTCATATAAAAAAAACCAAACAAAAAAACCCCCAAACATCAGCTTTAGCGGCAATAGCAAAGGTCAAGCAGTGATACGTCGAACAGGCGCCGGGACAGAGAGTGAGGGCGCTCCTGCACTGGATATAACACAAATCTGGGCCTTCACAATGCCCCTTTTTATTGTCAAGCCAAATGGAGTGTGAACATGAAGGCGAGATTAAGTACAGAGAGACAAAAATGGAGAAGCTGAAACGCACTTGTTTAAGATGCATCTCAGATGATGGGTGGATGATGAAAGAGCAGCAGCAGGGAGAAAACAGAGTGGTCGTGGAGCTTTTGAAAGCCATGAAGCTGTTTGCCTGGTGTGAGTACGAATGTTTGACTCCAGAGATCACTGCTGAAATGGGCAACAGTGAGGTTAAGCTTTTGTATTTACAGCTAAAACACCCAACACTATCAAAACTTCTTACTTTAGTCTTGAACAGTCACAGAAAAAAAAGGTGCAGTCTGTCAAATTTACATGCAACAGACTGGTCTACTAAAGGTTTTATGTAGAAAGACAGAATCTAGAATTCTGTACATATGCAGTCTTATGGGATGGAAACAAAATATTCAGTACCAGCTGCCACAAAAAGTGGGCCATCATGTAATTGCCATTAGTTTGTTTTTTTGTCAGCAAAATATATCCTGAACCAAAATACAGATTTTTCTGAATCACTCAGAAAGCAATCAGTGGATGGAAATCTACAAACTGATTTAAATCTGGATTTCAACTATTCAAGATGGCTGCCAGGGGCAGCACGGTGGCGCAGTTGGTAGAGCTGCTGTCTCTCAGCGAGCAGTTTGCCCCGGTTCAAATCCTGGTCCGGAAGTCTTTCTGGGTGGAGTTTGCAAGTTCCCTCCGTACATGCGTGGGTTTTCTCCAGGTACTCCAGTTTCCTCCCACAGACCAAAAACATGCATGTTAGGCTGATTGGGAACTCTAAATTGTCACTAGGTGTGAGTGAGACTGTGAATGGCTGTTTGTCTCGTTTGTCGCTATGTGGAGACCTGTCCAGGGTGTACCCCACCTCTTGCACAATGATAGTTGAACATGGGCACCAGTGATCCCCACGGCCCGAAAAGGCAGAGGCGTGTAAAGATAATGGAAAGGTGGATGGATGGACAATGGCTGCCATAGATAATCAACCGTAACAAACTCAAGACAACATGAAGTCAGAATGTTGCTGCAACCAAATTAAGAGACTCAAATGAACAGGTTTACTTTAGTGAGCGACTCAGCACCTTCATTATCGATATAGTATCAGTGTTGCCAGATCTTGCGATAGAAACAAGCAACCAGCTCTATGAAAACAAGCCCAAAATAAGCCCAAATGGCAACCCACCACATTGCGTAAAACAGGCTGTTCTTAAACAGTATAAACATACATTTATTATGGCATTACACATAAACAACAGCAAAATTATGATAAACACTTTGAATAACATACTTTTAAGTTAAGATAAAAAAAAAACATTTTGCATATGTAATTTTTTTTGCATATTTTTAAAAACAAAACATCCTGACATCTGTGTGTGAGTGAAGCCCCCTAGTGGTCGGCCACAGTATGAGTGTTTAGGGTGCGCGCCCACAGAGGTATTTGTGTGCGCCTGTCGCCTCACCAACTTGGGCAGGAGCGATAAACAGGAAACGGGGGCGTGAAAGGGACAAACTACCTACTACCACTCGTCGTTTGCTTTATTGTGCAGAGCTGGGAGATAATCAACTAGTTTCACTCGGAAAGAAAACCAAGCCCAAACAAGCAACTTCACGTTCAAAACAAGCCCAAAAAACTGCAACCCACGACTCACAAGATTTGAAAGCGACTTTAGAAAAAACAAGCCCAAAGTCACTTATAATAAACGGACTCGGCAACTATGATACATATGAGTGGCAAACACTGCCACTTAGAGGACAGGAGTGTAAAAACAGCACGTAAATTTCAATTTTTAGTGTTTAGACAACCTGTTTTATTATTAACAGTTCAAAAAGTAGAGTGCAACAACTTTGCTTTACTTGGGTTTTATCTTTAAAATAAACAAATAAATAAAAATTGGCATTTTTTTTAAATTAATGAACAATTGTAATAAGCTAATTATTAAACAGTCCTCTTGTTTTAACAAAAGGTTGATTGGGAAAACTTGTGAAACTTGTGTTTGTTGTGTTTTGGGGGAAACAGTGATGGAAGTGAGAAGGAAGTTGAGCGAGGTAAAAACAGAAAGCAGAAATGAAAAGTGAAGTGGACAGAATCACCAGAAGCAAACAAATTCCTCAGCTTTGACGGCTGCTGGCCTCCAGAGATGGCAGCAAACAGCTGTCTAATCCTTCCCCTTCAGTCGTCCTACTTCTTTCTTCCTTCCTCTCCCTTCATCAACCATTTCACCCCCTCGCCCCCCTCCCTCATAACTGTATACACCCGATGGCACTGACGGGGTTGTTTTGGCCCAAGACTATAATAGCCTGGCCCTACACCTTGGCACTAACACTGACACATTTGAGTACGGATACACACAAGCAACACTCTCTTCCAAAGAACAATGTGTGAGTGTGTCAGTGCACGAGCACAACGAGGTCACCGTTTACCGTGCAGCTGGGATTTGGGTTCGTTAAACCTCCTGCAGTCATCCTCAACAGTTGAGCAGAGCTCCTGGCAAACACAGACCTGTTTGTCTCCGTTTGTTTCCTTCTGAGCTACTTTTCTTTTGAGCTTCCTATCGTGCACGGCAGCCAACCTTGATGCCGCAGTAAGACATTAACAAAGCTGTCTTATTACAATAAAGGGAATCTTCTGCGCTCCACTGTAATTTCATAGTCTTGTTGAGGCAATGATTAATCAATTATTCATAGCCTCTTTTATTATGTTACAAAGAAAAGAAATGTTAATGTGAGCTGCAAAACACTAACGTAAAGGAAAAAGGTAGGATGAAATAATGTGATTATAATATTGTTATTAAAAATGTTCAGATGATTGAACACTTTATCCAGTAATGCTGACATGAAATGCTGTTCATGATCAATGATCAGGTGATTTTACCAGATCAAAACAAATCAGTGATTTTGAAACTCAAGTAGCAACCTAAACTTCTGGTTTAATCCATCACTGCTAGCTCACAAAGACAAAGGTGGACAATAATGTTTCACTTTTTGTGTCCATGTTTCTGTCTGTTAGCAAAGTACAATAGTCCCTCGCTACTTCTTGGTTCAACTTTCACGGACTTGCTTTTTTGCCGTTTTTCAGTGTAAGATTGTACACGAGACACGATTGTCAACTTTATTATTATACATGTGACTAGGACAGTACGGGATAAAATGTTAGTTAACAAAAAAAAAGTACTTCGGACAGGCGCAGCCATTTTGTAGTTTTCTTTCAATAAGCCTACACTGTAACATAAGTCAAAGGAACTACACTACCCAGAAGCCAACAGTGCTTTCAGCTGCTGCTTTCTGTCGAAATGGAGGGAACGTTTTGCTAATACAAAGTCAGAAGTAACGATCTATCTATTAAGCTCACGGAACTGGCATGAAAGTCGGTAATTATCTTGAAGCTTCCTGAAGCTCAATTATCCACGTGCACATCCACCTGGACGGGGCGGTGGGTTTCATTGCTGCAGAGTAGTTCTGCCAAACTGGAACCAAGCCGCTGGTCTGCAGAGCTGGTGAGTACCTATATAAAATTTTGCTGTACTGTACAGTACATATATGTATGCTGTTGAAATTAAGTAGATTTAAGAGTTTATAACATTGCAAGAGTGTGGAAAGGGTGTATAAAGCCTTAATATGTATATAAATACTAAAATAAATATAATGTTCCTACTTCGCAGTTTTTCACCTATCGCGGTGGTGTCTGGAACGTAACTCCTGCGATAATTGAGAGACTCCTGTATTTCATGAACCACTTGAGAAAGTTGTACAAAACTTGCAGAAAATAACAGTGAAGCCAACATTTATAACGGATTAAATTTAGGATTAAACTTGATTCATGATGGGGCATGCATCAGGATGGATGCCATAGTTAACTTGGCTGAAAAAACACAAAATGGAAATACCCCATCAATGTTAAAGATTTTTTCTTCTTCTTTCGGCTTCTCCCTTCTTCAGGGGTCGCCACAGCGAACTAACTTGCAAGAAGATTTGGCAATTATTTTTTACAACGGATGCTCTTCCTGACGCAACCACAGACCGCTGAGCTACCACAGCCTTCTGTGTGGAGCAGATGGTGGGGGATAAGGGCCTTGCTCAAGGGTCCAGCTTGGGGCAAATGAGGGTGGAGGCAGGAGTGGGTGCTTCACCTTTTCCACCCACGTTTTAATGTTGGTCCAAGGAGTTGAACCGGCATCCTTCTGATGACAGGCCCACCTTCTCTAACCTCTGTGCCACCACTCCACTTCATCAATGTTAAAGATATTGAGCTAAAACTTGATGTGGCAGTAGCTGAGAGTAATCTTCATCACATAATGCAAGCACTACAGATTACATACTTTTTTCTTTTAAACTTTGACAATAATTGTTAAAGTAAACTCTGTTAGCAAAATATCTTATTAACAAAGACATGGATTTTAATAAACGTTTCTTAAAACATAACTACTGGATGTACATCTACAAATGATTAATTTGGGGGATTAATACAATTGACGAAGGCCACCATAGCTATCAACTTTAGAAGAATATTGGTTGTAACTCAGCCACTTTTGCAAACATTGAGTTCAAATATGAGGTAGTAGTAGCTGAGAGGCTTTCCCAACACATATTTCAAGGGATAGCAGCACACCAGCGATTGTGCATATTATTGTGTTTAGGATTTGACACAAAAATGTACAGCTCCATCATTTTCAAGGTACGGTTATCTAAATTTAAAACTCTTGGATGAAAGGCAACATGTGATGTGTTTTCTTTCAAGGAATGCTAGGCCTTGCTTTGATTTAGTCTGTAGTTTGAAAGGTGTGGTGTGTATGTCAAATAAAGAACCTTTGACTTTGATGAAAAGATTCAAACAATAGGGGCCCATTCCAACTTTCTAAAGATATAAGACTTGCTCTTAGTTTAGCTTTTACAAGATAACACACTCTAACATGCTATTTTCGACAGGTGGAGGAGTTTTCTTTCCGTCTGTTGGGTAGGTTATCCTCATATTTGGGGTAAAGGGAACAGCATACATTTTATGGCTTTGTTATAAACACTTCATTCCCAAAAGGCTGCAACAACACTCTCTATGTCGTGATAAGCAAAACACAAAGGGCAAAAGGGAGGGCATTACATTTATAGTCACATTCTTGTGCTTTTCATTTGTCATCACAAAAAAAGGACATGTAGAGCAACAGATATCAAAAAGACCTCAGATCTTGAACTTGACCCTCAGCTTTACATCTCCAGTCACAACTTGGAGAATCTGCTGCAGCTCTAAACTCTTATTAGGATTCCCCCGCGGTTGGCCTCCTCTTTTCGATATGGTAATTAGCAATGACTAATGACTTGCGAGTGTAAAAAATGAACCAGTAATGGCCGCATTGCAATGGATTAGGAATCACAAAGGTTTAATTGAGAAAGAAAAAGGCCTCTAATTATAGTGCGATTCCACAACAAATCAGCGATGGAAGAGGAGATTTCTGCTACACTTGTTGTTCATTAAGCAAGACAGCTCTCAATGACTGATTTCACTCAATATTTATGTAACTTATACAAGGCTGAAAATAACCCAAAAAAGCTAAGTGCAATCTTTGAAAAATAGCATCCATAAAAAATAAAAATACCTACAGCTGCACAGTCAATTCCTAAGGTGGAAACTCTACAGTTAGAACACAGTTAGTAGTGAGTTTATCTGCTTACAATAATTGGCCCCTGCTGTGTGATTTAAAAATATGAATATCTTAACTTTTAAAGCTATTTCAGCTACATCACTTGGGATCAAGACAGCTTAATTAAGATTGACTAGCTAACAGTTAGCTGCTAACTGTGAGTCTATCACTTTCATGCTAGCTGTTAGTTAGTAGATCACTTGTATATTAGAAGCTAGCATAAAGCTTGCGTTATAACTTTCATCAGTTGTTAGCTACCAAAAAAACAAACAAAATAAACAAAAAACAAACAAAAAAAAAACCTCTTGCTTCTAGCGTCCTTTTTCAAACATTTCATTGGGCTTATGAAAACAGTATTTAAAAACCTGTAGCGATGTGTCTATTATTTTCAGATTATTACAGAGGATGATTAGGGCCATGGGGAAAATATTTATTTGTCACAATCCTGACTTTTTTTTATTTTTTTTTAGAATTCATGTTGCTGCCTCTTTTACAGGTCAAGATTGTAAATGAGAACTGGTTGTCAACTATTATAAGTTCTGAGGAAAAAAAAAAATC